TCCTCCCGTGTGTGGTTAAAGCTCATTTCAAACAGCAGAAGATAAAAACTTCTGAAGCAAGTTAACATCTGATTAAAAATTAAACGATTTTTTTTCATGCAGTCACAGCCAGGAAAGGCATGGCAAGGGCTGCATAAACAGAAACAAAAGTGATTTAACTCTTAAATTACAGACAATTGAGCAGTTAGACTGCAGGTGCATGACCTATAAACGAAAGCTGCTTGATTAAGATAAAGTAGTTTTGGTGACTATCGTGTCCCTTTGAAGTGATAGGAACACTTACTGTGAACTCTTTTTATAGAGACACTCTGATCTAGGTCAATCGCCCAAAAGCTTTGCACACATCTCTCAAAAGAGAGATATTGATAGTTGGGGAGGGCATCATCAAAATGACAAGTGTGACAGAGCTCCCATACTTTGACTGAGTACGTCTGCCAAGTCTGTTTCCGTGCCACTATCAGGGACCCTGGAGCGCTTCAAACCCAGTCACTGAAGCTTGACTTGTGTCTCTTCCACCCTGGACCAGGCTGTAGCTACCTCCTTCCAGGCAGGAATCACCCCTTGCCTATTCCTCTTCAGGCTGTTCTTCCCAAGTGGGTATCAACAACTCTGCTTATAGTAATTACAGCTCCTTTAGCTATTGCCTTCATAGAGGCAGTTGTTGCACTTGTTCCCCAAGTTACAGGAACATGCAGCCAGACAACAGGCCAGAAGACTCTGTTACTGGGATCCCTGAAGAAATCCACACAGGACACAAAGTTCCAAAAGGAGAACTAACATACAATTCTTTAGTTTGGACTTAAATAAATAAAAGAAAAAACTAATTAGTGCAGGACCATGTGACAACAAACTTAATAAAAGTAGAGAGCTTACAATATTCAGATAAAACCCATGCATCTCACATCAGAAACTGGAAAACGCATGTGCTCTTGTTTAGTGTAAATACAGAAAGCACGGGGACAAAGTGAAATCCTACTTAATTTTGCTGAATTGGATGGCCACAACTAACACCAAACAAAACTGCAAATAAATAAAAAGATAAAGTCAAAGTATTTAATATAAATGTCTTTCACATTTCATCTGTTAATACAGACTTCTTCAGGGAAACTCGTAACTCCTTGGTTATT